TCAAGCTGTATGTCATTTCGACAGAAATTTTCTTCGCTTGAGTGATTATGATTCGCTCTGTCAGTTGATTTTTATGTCTGACTGTCGCTCACGCCGGGTTGCTCTTCATGGGCCTTGTGTAGGCTGATTTCTGGATAATTAACGGCTGCTTCTGTTGGGCAGCGGTACATGCAGAATGTTTTGTGCCCTGTTACTTCGGTGATCAATACGCTGTTGCTCGTTACCCATGGGTCCTCCCAATCATCTGACGTTTGCCAGAGTTCTGCATGGCATCAGCGGTTTTAGGACTTGGTCGTGTTGGCTATACCCAGGATAGCCTTCAAGACTCACTGGTCAGTTACAGACCAGTGCGGCGAACGCCAACAGTGACTGTGGCACGTACGTACTTCCCATTGTTAAGTAAAACCTCGCCCATCCGAGCTATTCTCTTTCACCGTTGTATTCGCTGAGTTCTTGCTAGGTAACCCAGTCAAACGAACTTAATCGTCCTGAATTGCCAAAGCCAGATGCGGGATGTGGTGGCTGAACTGAAAGACTAACCCGCGCGCGTTATTGCTCGGGCACAAGGACCATTACGACAATGTGTGCTTCATCATGTGATCTGCGTGGCGGGATCATTGCAGTTAGATTTAGGATGTCGAGCTAATGGTGATCAAAAGGGGATACAATAGATAACAGGTAGGGACAAAACTTGGGTGACAAGGGCTAGTTTCCAATCATAACCAGCGGGTGTACAGAGGGGTCGTAATGTAACTCCAGGTTTGTGTCGTTAATTCTCCTGGGGGTTCGAGGAACAGGGAAGCCCAGTACTGTTAGTGGCAAATTCTTTTCCCGACGAGCAAACCCACATTTACGATGGTTAATACAATGGACTACGAACTTCGACACAAGAGACTATATTTCAAAATACACGTTGCCAATAGAAACAGGTTATCAGAATACCTAAAATGGTGCAGTCACGTAGGATGAACAACCTGATAGTGGCCTGATATGCAAACCAAGTTAAAGCAAGTAACGAAGTCCGACATCAGGTTTGATACGCTGTGTGGCTATATCCTAATTAAGCTAAACTTCTACTGGGTGATTTAGTGCCTCAAGAGAAATCGGGAAAGCGGTATAACGACCTGGTCAGAGCCAGGTGAATCCATGCTGAAGGGTCGATCTCTCCTCTCTGATGGTTGTCCAAACGGATGCCATCTCCGTGGACAGCCACGTGACCGCAAAATGTTTGCGGTTCGTTGGACCGATGAAAGACCCTGTATACATCCGGCTCAAATGGGAATAGGCTGACCCTTTTTTGCCATGTAATCGATATTCCTTTCTCTTCAATGATCATCCTGGCAAACGTAGGCTAGTAAACCATGGTGCCAGAAATGGCCTCAGCTTCTAAATGAGCGTTTCTCATTTCCTTCAATTTATGCAGTTTTCAGCTGCATGATGCGCTGGAGATCAGAGCGACAGGCTTTCTGTGGCATTTGAGAGCCATTATTCGCATGCGTCTTCCAAACTGGTAACACTAAACTCTTAATCTATGCTACATTTTGAGACCGCAATATGACATTTCTGTCGATATGATACTAACGGTCATTTTCAGACTGGCAATGTATTCACTCAGCATTCCGGTCTCAAGAGCCTATCGGTTATTTCGGCGATCATTATGCTTTTGAAAGCTCAGTTCACAATACACCTTTTGAAAGCAGCGATATGGTTAAAGGGCATTGCTTTTCCTCATCTGAACGCAACTTCCATCATAGGAGACCCATTTTAATGGATCCCTTGTAGAAAAATCCTGAACTGTGAAACGTTCGGATAGTTTTTCTTTCCGGAAATGGAAACAAGATTTCTAATAACGCCTGGAATCGAGTTGGCGTCATCCGACAATATTTTCACAGTAAAGAGGATGGGGTTATCTAAATTTGTTTAAGGACGAACAATTGGTCGTTTGAATTATTCATCAAATATGAATCCTCTTGTGTTTTGCGGATAGGTGGGAAACGTTGTTCCGGTACACACCTGGTGTTGATGATGAAGCGTGCGAACGAGTAGAACAGCTGGTTGCGTTGAAAATAACCGAATGATTAATTTACAGTTCGTTCATTTCAGAAGGATTCGTTGATCACACACTAATTCTTAGCCGGGTTATTTGGATAACATGCCAAGGGAGCTCTGCGTGTGTTTGCGTGCAAGCATGATCTGCGTAATGACAGTTCTAACTCAACTTGAAAGCCTAGGAGTGAGTGTAGTGCTTTCCTCTGTTTTCGTGCATGTCGTCAAGCTGGATAAGGTGGATGAACAATCGTACTCTGTATGTCCATGTTTAGAAAATTGTTCCAGAAAACCACTGCTCTCTCGCATAATTCATAATAACAGGAAGCTTTAGGGGCACTTTCCGTCAGTCAGTCCGCCGTTCTCCCTCTCCGACACTCGTCCTGGTTGAACTTTAACTCTTGAAATCCTGAAGTTACTTGGAATTCAGCTGAGTATCTCGTTTATGATGTTTTTAAATGATTGGATGTGATGCAACAGGCCTCCTCATGAATCAGTTGTTGTGATACTCGAGGTATCGCTATACATGTATAGACGTAATACACTACTCATAGGGTTGCTGAAAATTGTTTGACAGCCCACGACCGGTTTCGTTTCTCATCCCAAACGAGAGATTCAGCTGGGTTTCAGTTGTGCCCTCCGAAAAATGAGTGTATTTCGGTAAGATCGTGTAATTTGGTCCCAAGTAGAACGGAAGCTCAGGGACTTCCTGATGAGCCCCAAGAAGGGCGAAACCGGTCTTGGGTTGTCGAAGGAGTTTCAGCTACCTTGTGAGTAGTTTCCTTTATGAA